CGGTACTCTGCACCCTAATTCGGAAGCCCTCCCTAGTAGGATTTGCCAAATCCGACTCCCGTGATTTGATAACCTAATTGCTAGTCCCGCAATTTGGATTGTCAGACGGGAAAACCTCGTATTTGGGTAATTTCCTCCTGGCAACTGCCGAGCCAAGAGATTTCGTGCCAAAGGCCTTGCCATAAAGTGACTCTTGCCTAAATTAATTGCATGCATCAAAGTACACTGTGAAAAGCTTTTCGGTATTGTTTATATTCCTTGTCAATTTTTCTGCCAAATAAAAGCATTAATAGTTAATGTTTTGTTGGGATTTTACATCTGCCTTCATTACATATTCACCCCTACACCCCCAAACTGTTCTCATAAAATGCTGAATTCTTCCAAGAACATGGAAGTTTTATGGAACAATTATGATGGGATTTCTTAGAAAATTTATTATCAACGTATAATAAGCTATGTAATTCTTTTTTTAGTGCCTTTCAAAGCAATTGCTTATTTGTATGTTCAATTATGATCATTATATCTTCTTTTATGTTATATCGATTGTATGCTAGTAATACCTTTAAATATGACTAAACTCATCTCTAAATACACAAACATGAATATGTTATTTATCTTCCAAAAATACGACTAACGTATACCATATTTTGGTGGGGTGCAAAGTCAAATTCCACCGATTTTTTATTTATAAAAAAACAGAAAAAAACAGTAAAATAATACAAATTAAAATTAATTACAATATATATAAAAAATAGATAACACACATTAAAAATATAAAAACATGGAGGTCATTCCCTCCTTTTTGAATATAATATATTTATAAAATCGTTTTTTTATTGATTTTATTTAATATGAAGGCCTTTCCCTTACTATTTTTTTACAATATACAAAACTTCTATTTTTTAAATAATTTTATTTAAAAATTATTTCGTGTGTTTTATTTTTTTTAACATTTTTATTATAAACAAACTTATGTTATTTCTTTTATATTTTATTTATTAATGAAATTTGAAATGTATTGAAACAAATTAAGGGTATAATTGGAAGACTAGTCCTCTTTAAGATATTTTAAAGTTATAGTTCTATTTTGGCAATTATAGCTTCGTTTTGTCCTATTTGAGAAATTCCCCTTAAATATTCACTAATATATACTTTGTTCATCTCAAATTGATTCGCGAAGTATTTAATTGCAATTTTAATAAATTAATATTTATTTATGTTTTTCTAATATGCAAGCATAATGTATAGAAAAAGTAGAAGTTGGATGTATAATCGTTATGTTGAGAATGTAGAGGATTGACACAAGAGTTTATTGATGGAGTTGATGAATTTGTTACTTTTGCACGGGGACAACATCAGTACATGGTTGGAAGTAAAATAAGGTGCCCATGTACGGACTGTAAAAAAAGAAAATTTGTAGACAATGATGATGTTTATTGGCATTTATATACAAGTGGTTTTATAGACATTTATTACAATTGGACTTCCCAAGGTGAGCCGTTGGAGTCATATTTTTTTTACATACAGTAGGAACGTCTCGTTATGCTCTCTTGAGGAGATGTCCACTTGGGGCAATTATGAAGAAATGCCATGTGATCAAAGAATAATTTATGATTTGGTCGGTCCTTCTACTTTTCAGAGTGTTAATCTGAATAATGATTTTGACATTTTGTGGGACAAAATCATGCGGATGAGGGAATGAACTCATATGGTTATGATGTTGATACATTAGACACGAGATTTCAAGATGTGCTTCAAAGTGAGGATCAACCTTTGTATTCGGATTGTGAAGGTCACTCGCAATTGTCATTGGTTTCTGAATTCTGGAATATAAAATCAGAATATAATCTTTCAGAAAATTTCATGTCTAGAATATGAGATTGTGTTAGTAGCATGTTAGCACACCATCATTCTCTCCCTAATACTTACTACAACATGAAAAAAAATTGTTTCAGAATTGGGTCTTCCTATGATTAAAATTCATGCATGCCCCCAAGGATGCATGCTTTTTTAGAAGAACGATGAGACATTGACCCGTTGTAAGTTTTGTAATGCGGAAAGGTACAAACCTATATCAGCTACAGGTCACAAACCAAGGAAAAGATCTGCAATTTCTAAGTTGATATACCTCCCTTTAGCTCCACGATTGCAAAGGTTGTAATGTTGTATGCCTCAAGTGCTACCGTTAAACACATGTCATGGCACTTCGAGCATGACACTGAAGATGGGTTAATGTGTCACCCATCAGATTCTCAGGCATGGAAGCATCTTGACCAATGTCATCCTGAATTTGCCATAGAACCACGCAATGTTCGACTTGGGTTATGTGTAGATGGTTTTGCTCCGTACGGTAAATTTGGAAATCAGTTCTCTTGTTTGACATGTGTATGAAAAATCATTTCATGTTTTTGACCTTAATGTGTCCAGGACCGGATAATCCAAAAAAAAAAAGACTTGTTGTGTATTTGGAGCCATTGGTGGAAGAGCTGAAGCACCTATGGGATGTGGGTGTTGCTACGTATGATGTTCAATAGATCAAATATTTAATTTGAAAGCTGCAATTTTGTGGGCAATTATATTAATGACTTCCAGGCATATGGAATGCTTTCTGGATGGAGTACTGTAGGTCTCATGGGATGTCCTGTTTGTCTGAAGAAGTCAAATGCATTTTGACTAAAAAAATACCCGCAAACCGTCTTACTTTGATTGTCACCGTCGGTTTCTCCTACCGAACCATACATATAGAAAGGATAATAAGTCATTCGTCAAGGTTCACATTGAGCGTGATCCTTCGCCTCTGAGGTTGTCAGGATATGAGATTTATAATCGCGCTCAAAACTTCCCTTCTGCCATAGATTAACCACTGGGGTATCTGACTCATCATAAGTGGACAAAAAAAGTATTTTTTTTGGGAATGCCATATTGAAAAGATCTTCTCATAAGGCATAATTTGGATGTAATGCAAATTGAAAGAAATTTTTTCGATAACATTTTTAACACGGTCATGAATTTCAAGGCAAAACCCAAAGATGGATTATAATCAAGAAAGGATGTAGCTCTAAATTCATTTATGTTTAGTATTAATATTTTAAATATGAATATTTTATTAGTTCTTTAAAACATGCTAGTTCATACTCCGTATAAAATAGGGAAAATATTCATAGTATCATAGTGACTTTATGGAGTAGTATTTTTAAAAAACTAGTAAAGTTGTCTTATTTAAAATGTTAGTACTAGAAGTGAATTTTAACGAGTAAAAATTTCAATTTTGCTATAGGTACCCCATAGTTACCCCATTTCCTACTCCATATAAATACTCTCCTTTTTTATCTTCCCTTTTACCCCTTTCCAAAAATATCTTTCTCTCACATCTCCCACATCCTCTACCCACCTCCCACCTTCTCATTTCCGTCAAAACCCTTCCCAATCTTCGAAGTGCTACAGTGCACGGTTGGGGTAAACCTTCTATCCCAACTTCTTGGATGGATATCATTGGGAAGGATGTATCCGACTTTAGTGATGTGGGGTTTTTGGATGGGTTGACATGGGGAGATGAAGGTGAGAAGGTTGATGAGGTGGGTGACGGTGGTAATCCGCCATCTCCGGTTGTTGTTGAAGTAGAAGCGACTTCAAGGGAGGAAGATGATGAAGATTATGACGTCTTGGAGAAGAGTATGTTTGTTTTCCGTCATTTTTGTATTTTGTTTGGCGGCCAGACAATTTGGAACTGCAGTGTCTGTCCAACCTAAAGTAAACGCAGTGTCATAGTTGTTTGAAGTGAAACTGATGTTATATTTGTTAGTGTCTCTATATAAATGTGTGTTTTTGGAAACATGGTTGTATTGGTAATGTGAAGATAAATGCGGTGAATGAATTAAACATATATATATTATTGTTTATTCTATGTCATTTTATGCCCAGAACATGTTTGTAGAAATTACTCAATGAATTTTTTGTTGAAATTCAAGACTTTTTTTTTCATTTTTTGTACCTCAGTGTTTAATTAGTATTTTTATGGATTTCCAATTTAATATGATATAGTAATTTTTTCCAATTTAATATTTTTTAATTGTCTGTCATTTGTTTGTTAGTTGTCTATATTTGTTTTGAGTTGTCTGTAATGACTTGTCTATCATGTTGTTGTAAGGAGTCTATAAGAGTTGTGAAGTTGTCTATCATTTTGAGGTGTTAATTAGTTAAAATTTTAGTGTAATTTCTCTAGTTCATTTTATGCCTATAACATGTTTGTAGAAATTACTCAATGATTTTTTTTTTGAAATTCAAGACTTTTTTTCCATTTTTTGTACCTTAGTGTGTAATGAATATTTTTATGGATTTTCAATTTAATATGATGTAGTAATTTTTCCAAATTTGTTTGTGCCAGACATTAGTAGTCTGGCCCAATGTACTAATTTCTGTCTCACAGCCAGACAAAAGTTGTCTGTGCCAGATATTAGTAGTCTGGGCCACATTACATGTGTATGCCAAACAGACAGACAAAATATGTCTGGACCAGACAATTACCTTCTGTCCCACCGTTGTGTTTGTTGTTAATTTTTTCTAATGTGAATGTCTTACATTGTTTTCAGGCGGTTTCAAAACCAAAAAACTAGGAAGGAGCCTTATGGAGTGCACACAAGTGAAACCACAAATGAAATTTATGATTTGACTATATTAACGCCCTCTATGAATGATATGGCTTGGATTTGAATCTTCGATTATTGTGAATTACCATTGTTTGTAGTTTGGATCGAACAATTAGTTGAAATGTGTAATTACTTGTTATGTTAAAAATAATGTATTTGTGTTATGGTATATATCTTTCATAACTTGACAATTTCAGTCAGCGAGACAGACAAAACGTATACCCTCACAGACAATACGCATACACATCCAGACAACTATGTCATACATATACAGATAAAATGCATACGCAGACAGACAAAACGTAATTTAATACACACAAAAATGTACAAAAATGTACAACTACATATCCAATTGCCACATTTCTAAAGTTTGCAACATATACAAAAACACAAACTTAATGTTCCATCCAATTGTTGAACATTGTACAACATTAAACATTAATTATTGTACAATATTCCACACACATCGTACAGTCAGACATATATTCATAAATTGTATCTCTTGAACGGGTATTAGGTGGCCCCATGATAGCTTCTTAAAGTCCTTCAATTGCTTCTTGGTCAATGCAGACTGCACCAAAGTTCCGGCCTCTTTGAAAAATGAGCACACAGAATATTGGGCTGGAAACTGCTTCGACACAGGAACTTGTAGTTCAAAAGCCCAGTATAATTTCATCCAATACATATCACACATATCAGGCAAATCAGTGACATTACAAAGACCCATTACAGATTACAGACAACTCATATATAAGGCCATACAATTTTATATCACGTGACAGACAACTACACAGCAGTTTTAAATAATTCAATATAAATGACATATTCTCAACTTCAAAATGAGTTTCTCAAAACGTTACACACAAACAGAGACTTTCACAAAGAAAAGAAATGCAATTTCCATCATGACAAACAAGACAATTATTTGTAAAATTTGCAACTTCAAGAAACTAACTTTTAATTCTAAGCATATGGATGGACAATAAGCATCTCCATACAACATCTACTTCTGCAGTTATTTTACATGGTTCCATATTTAACACCAACATATAACATTGATATAAATGTGGTAATAAAGAACTAATCTGGCTGTACTTCACAAAGTAGTTACTTGTCCCAGACTACTAATGTCTGGCCCAGAAAACTTTTGTCTGGTTGTAAGACACAAAGTAATACATACCCCCAGACTACAAATGTCGGGAACAGACAAATTTTGTCTGGCTGCACTCCACAAAGTAGTTACTCCATAAAGACTAATATGAAGTATTATGTATATATCTCAATAATAAATAGAAAATTCATTTTAATAAAATGAAAGAGTCAAACACTCAAACAAAATTTTAAAATAGAAAAATTAACAATACACATACATGGATATGAATTAAAATTCATTCAATCATTTCAACAAACACCTTATGAGCATAAAAGTGAAATATAATAGTTGAATTAAAATATAAATAATTAACCTCACAAATCTGGAAAGGAAAGAGGTAAATAAGAGATGTAACAAAGAGGGAAGAAGTTGTTAACAAGATAAACAGAGTATTACATATGAAATAAAAAACAAATAAGAAAAAAAATGAAGAAAACAGAAAGAATGGATAGAGGGAAATACCAGAAGGGTAAGATGCAGATAGGAGAGGTAGCAGAGAGGGGAAGACACAGGTTCACTCGTCGCCGGTTCGTGCGGATGTGACACCATTGCTAACGAAGGATGGCTTTGGGGTGAGATTTCGCCGGAAAGAAGGATGGCTAGCAGGGTGCGGGAATAGGCGCTGGAGATTTGGAAGAGAAAAGAAATAGGGTAAAAATGGGGAGGGGAGGCAGGTAAAAAAATAGGGAGGCTTTTATATGGGGTACAAAATGGGGTAATATTGGGGTACCTATAGCAAAATTGTAAAAATTTTCATTGTGATATACTCCATATAATAGTATACGGAGTATAAAATAAGAGAAGAAAATTCGAAACCATTTTAAAAATGAAAGAATAAAGTTATGGATGGCGTATTGAATCGGAGCGGGGGCAAAAGTGGCCTATTTTCGATAGGAAAAATAATTAAACTACCCCAATGTTTGAAAGAGTGTGAGATGAACACAAAAAACGGGATTGATAGGGATTTTGACAGGGATTTGACAGGGATTTTGACAGGGAAATGCCAAATCTGTGCCAAAAACACTTTGACACGAGCTATTTGGCACAAAAAATCGGTAAGTCTATGCCAAATTCCGTGTCAATCCCGTAATTTTTTTATAGTAGAACACCCCAAACTTGTATATGTAAATTAAATACCCCAGACTTTATACACAAAGTTATTTTAGCAACATAATCAAGTATTATTTCTTTCAAAAATGTAAATTTATGGTGTTAATTACATAATTTAAAATATTTTAGAATTCATGAAGACACAATTAACATTCTAAACTTTCATTGCGGAATAAAGAATGTTAACCCCAATCTATTTAATTGCAACACTTTGAATTTGTTTTTTTAAATTATGCAATTAATGTATATATTTATATTTTCGAAAGAAATAATACATGACAAATTGACAATGATGCAAAAATAACTTTTATATAAAGTTTGAGATTTTGAATTAAATAGGGTGTTTACTTCATCCCTTCAAAGTTTGGAGTATTTTTTTTTCTCATTTTCAATTGATAGTGTAGTATGGGTATTTGGAACGAAACTCAGAGAAGTCTTGGTTTCAATTCCCGACAGCTTTAATGTGAGAGCTTCATCTAATGTGGTGTCTCTTTGTGCATACCAAGCTCTGAATCACCTCACTCATAAACCATTTAAGATGGTAGCATGATTTATTACTCCACAGTTCCGTCGGATCCGGATCTAGAGGCGTCTATTCCACCTTTTTTAGATTGGAAACGAAACGCAGGACAAATGGGTCTTCGCAAGAGAGGATGGACCCACTTGTGAAAACTGCCCAAACTCATCCCGCGAAGCAACTGCCATTACTTGAACAAATTAGACGATGCCACTTGCCAGTCCCGTATTGGATACAAATTGAGTTTCAGTCGAAGCAAACTTCCCAACAAAGCATGGCGATTATGGAGATCTCCATATAAATGTTCACTCCTGGGTTCTATATATACTCGTTCTCTTGTGGATAGCTATTGCACGCTTCACAATAACAACAATGGCGATCCGTTCAATCATCCTCTCCTCATTATTCGCTCTCATATCGACAATGTCTTTGTTGGCTCTCGCGGAGGCCGGCGGCGATAGTGACGACATTTTGATCCGTCAAGTCGTCGGGGACGAAGACTGCCCGCTGAATGCCGACCACCAATTCACCTTTTTCAAAAAGCGGTTCGGAAAGGCGTACGCCTCCAAGGAAGAGCACGATTACAGACTCTCGGTGTTCAAGGCTAACATGCGCCGTGCAAAGCGCCACCAGCAGCTCGACCCCTCTGCCGTCCACGGTGTCACTAGGTTCTCCGATTTGACTCCATCCGAATTCCGGCAAAACTTTCTCGGAATGAACCGCCGGCTCAGGTTCCCGGCTGATGCTCATACAGCTCCTGCCCTTCCCACCGACAATCTCCCGTCAGATTTCGATTGGAGAGAACACGGTGCTGTTACTCCTGTAAAGAATCAGGTTCGCATCCACTAGTGTTGTACAGTGTTTTTGGTAATTGAATCTTCAGAGTAGATTTGTCTTCCAATTGATGAAAAATTATGATCAATATGAGAGATATCTGACTACTAAATAAGTCAATAGATTATGAACTAGTATATGAGTTGAATTTAATCATTGCTGGCCTGGGAATTGAAAAATTGAAAACAGGGGTCGTGCGGGTCATGCTGGTCATTCAGCACCACTGGAGCATTGGAGGGAGCCAACTTTCTTGCCACTAGGAAGCTTGTGAGCCTTAGTGAGCAGCAGCTTGTTGATTGTGATCACGAGGTCTGATATTTTCAGCATTTTGTATGGCTTGTTTGTTTTTGTTTTGTGGTGAACCTAAACTATTTTACTTTTAACTCCTATAGGCCTATCTAAAAACAGTTTTAATTCTTCACCTAAGTTAAGTTAATAATTAACTAAAAAAAGGAGTAATTATATAATTGTATGTATAGACTAAGTTTATTTAAACTTGCCAGATTTACTTATATTTGCCATATGCGGACCAATCTTAACTATCAAATCAACATTACTCGATTCTAATTTTAATTCTAGTTCAAGTAAACTATAAACACTAAGCGTATGAATATGTTACCACTAGCTAGATTTACTTTCACTGTAACTTGATTGTGGGACTATAACAAGAGAAGCATGAATTGTGTTAGTGTGATCCTGAAGAACCTGGTTCTTGTGACTCTGGATGCAATGGTGGGCTAATGAACAGTGCATTTGAATACGCATTGAAAACTGGTGGACTGATGAGAGAAGAGGACTATCCCTACACAGGCAATGATGTTCAAGCCTGCAAGTTTGATAAGACCAAGATTGCTGCTAAGGTAGCCAACTTCAGTGTTGTTTCCCTTGACGAAGAGCAAATTGCAGCTAATCTTGTCAAAAATGGTCCCCTTGCAGGTTTGCCATATAATCTCTTTTTACTTATGGAGTATGTCAAGATATTTTCACAGCTCACTGCACAAAATTGTGTGATAGGCTTTCACATACCTCAACTCATTCACTTATCTTTACAAGACTCTTATTTAAGGCTCAAGACACACACAACCTCTACTAATTCATATTCTTCGTATGGAATTCTTAACTATCGTAACTGTTTTACAATCTTAGACGATATTACTGTGATACTATCTGAAGCGATAAAATTTGTTACTTCCACATATAGTACACGGAGAATATAGCTAAGATTTTTCAAATTGATCTGTACAGGTAGTAGCAGTGGGCGGATCCAGGATAAATGTTTATTGGGGGCAGATCAGAGTTAAAAAAAACATCAGGAAAATAATAAAAAAGTATTAATGTAATATTACAATAATTAAAATCTTAACAAAATAGATAACAATTGCGCACCCTGAATTTCGTCTTTTCGAAGAGAGGTCCATTACAGTTTCGTTTGCAACAATTTCAAACACATCACTTTGAATAAAACAAATCAGACAATCACTCAAATCAATCTTTGTGAATATTTATGAAGAACATTGAGAAACACTATTTGAAACATTATTATTTGAACTACCCTATAGTGGTGAAGGAACGGTTACCCAATCTATTCATTGTGTATGAAAAAGAACTTAAATTAAAATTAACTTATTAAATACATTAATACATTTTATTTAACAACTTAAAGTAATTTAGTATCTACATTTGGGATTCTAACCTATTAAATATTGCCCCCATCCCACTCATATTAAGATATGAGAATGTGACACGATTATTAAGAAAAGTTAGTTTATGTTGTTGATATTGAATTGATAAAGTAAGAATAAGGTAAAAATAATTTAGAGTCACACAAACTTTACCAAATCTGATAAAGAGCAATCTTAGTGGAATTTTCTGAAAAGGTAAAAGGGGATAATCTCAGCGGGATGGATGGAGTAACATTTTTTATTGCCTATTAGTGTAAAGCATTACACTATTTCAGTAACTCATCAATTAGCTAAATCTAATTGATCATTCTAAAATTTTAAATTTGTTGATGTAAATAAATAATCCTATACTAAATTAATAACATTATAATCATTTAAAGAACATTATTATATAATATGTATTCCATATATAAAAACTAAAAATTAAACTATACAATACCGCACGCCACCAACACTCCAAAACTAACATCTTGATTACCATAGCAATTGATAAATGATGTAAAAGTAAAGCGAAAAGATTTATAGCCATTAAAGCCAAATAGCGTGAAAAGGCTCTTGCCGCTTGGAGAATGAAGAGGCTCAGCGTTCAGGCGTTCAGCCGTTGTGTTGCTGTGTTGGCTGGACACTGATTTACCCTCTAATCCGGCCTTCTGCACTCACGAGAGTTTGGCCACCTCTTCTCGTCTTCCATCGTCCTCAATTCCTTAATTTGAGGATTTGATCTTTTCTGAAATCCGAATTTCAGATTTACAGAACTTTCAATGGGGAGGACTCGATGAACTTGGGTTATAGGGGGCAATTTTGTTTTAATTGGGGACAAAAACTTGCATTTTTCATATTTATAAAAAATTACAAGGGGTTAGAGAGCCTTTATTGGGGGCAGCTGCCCCCACTCATGCCTTACTACATCCGCCCCCGGCCGTAGTAGAATACAAGTAGATATCAAACTTGACAAAATTTAGTCTTCAATGGATTTAAAGAATCAAAATTTGAGATTAGATGAAGAGGGAATAATAATTACACATCATTAGAGAAATCGACATAATCTATGTGAAACTAATCTATGTGAATATCATTACGGAACTAAACATATTATAATTGTGTCATTTTTAAACTTTGGATGATCAAAAACTAGATAAACAGTGGCCTACAATGTTAGATTACTATGTATTACGGAGTATTAAGGTTTCTTTTAACTAAAAAAGATGCATTTAGAGCTTTTTGGGAAAAGATTTCTAACATATAAGCATCTGCAATTTTGGTTACAGTGGCAATCAATGCGGTGTACATGCAGACATACGTGAGCGGAGTGTCGTGCCCGTACATATGCTCCAAGAGGCTGGACCATGGTGTCCTGTTGGTTGGATACGGTGCATCGGGCTTCGCTCCGGTTCGGGCGAAAGAAAAACCATATTGGATTATCAAGAACTCTTGGGGCGAGCATTGGGGAGAAGAAGGGTACTACAAAGTCTGCAGGGGTAGCAATATATGTGGAGTCGACTCCATGGTTTCAACTGTTGCCGCTGTTAGCACTTAGCACCACCGATACCTCGGACTAGCCTCATAAATCCTACGTAGTACATTCATACGTAGTATCAAAGTACTTCTGTAAATTAAGGATACAAGTGTGTATGAAGCTGTAAGTTTCATTAATCAATATTTCTCAATTTAGTTTAAAGCACAACTTGTCATGCAATTATTTGCTTTTTAAAATGTATCTCTATTTAATTTGTGATTATGGGTTATGGAATTTCTACTCTAGTTAAATCATGTACTCCCTCCGTTCCAAAATGAACTTCCAAAAAGATGGCTAATATCAGGAACACGTCCAAAAAGTAATTCAAAAGGCGTTTTTCCTTGAATTACTCGAGAAGGAGTTCGGTTAATCAAATATGCTGCTGTAAGTACACATTCTCCCCAAAAATCAATAGGAAGATGACCTTGAAACCTTAATGCACGAGCAATGTTGAGAATATGATGGTGCTTTCTTTCTACCCTTGCATTCTGTTGAGGAGTCCTTACCATGGATGTTTGATGGATTATTCCATGTTCCTCAAAATATTTATTCAACTTTCTAAATTCCGTTCCATTATCACTACGTAGAACCTTAATCTTACGATTAAATTGGCGGTCTAGTAGTGCAAAATAATTCAAAAGTAAATCAGGAACTACATCTTTAGTTTTTAACAGATAAACACAGACGCTTCGAGAGAAATCATCCACAATAGTCAAAAAATACCGAGAGCCACATGAACGATTAGGCTTGTATGAGCCCCAAACATCACAGTGAATCAAATCAAATAACTCTGCAGCTTTATTTTCACTAATAGGGAAAACATCCCTAGTCTGTTTTGCTCGATAACAGACATCACAAGGAGCATTTTCTAATAAACTTTTATTTTTAGTACTAGCTAGAGAAAGATAATCTAGTACTTGCTTCGAAGGGTGCCCAAGACGCATATGCCACAAGTCAAAAGAAACCTCAGTCGATGCAGCGTTGAACTGAGCTCTTTCCCCCCTCGTCAAGTAGTAGAGACCATCAATCTGTTTACCCACACCAATCGTCATCCTCGAGGTAAGGTCCTGCACAACACATTCTTAGTGAGTAAAATGTATGCTTAAACGATTTTTAACTAACAACTGAGATACTGATAATAGATTGCAATAGAACTTCGGCACATATAAAACGTTTATGAGAGTAAGGTTCTTATTTAAAGTCACATCTCCAATCTTCGTGGCCCGAGTAGTATCTCCATTCGGCAATTGACGAGCACTTTGTCACGGTGCGTCAAAATAATTTTCAATACTAAACACTTATACGTAGTATAGCGTAGTAGAGTTCGTATCCACAGGGAAAGGAATAATTCTCTTTTTATGATACTTAGTAAATAAAAGGGAGGATTTGGATTGAGTGATTTAATTTAATTAAGAACTAAGATGAACAACATATATGTATTTAATTCAAAGATAAAAAGGACTTGGCATTGCTACTTTCCACTTGTTGATATATTTTAGTCGATCATTGTTATATCTATAACTTATTCCCTCTCGAATACTCAATCGGGGAGTATATCCACTTCATCGAGGGTAGTTATTAACAACAACCGTTCATTAATAACCCTTACTATTAATCAAATATAGAACAACGCCTTATACCGATTTAATAGTAGCATTTAATCTTTCTAACTCCTTGATGAAATCAATTGAGATTGATAACCTCAACACAACGGTTTCGGTTTAACCAACAAAATTAATCCCTCTTAAGTTTATTAACCACGACCGTGCATTAATAAACCGAAGTTACTTACTTGTGAAACCATCATCGATTAACCATCGGTTCGTTGATCGTTTCTAGTAATAATTAATATATGAAACAAAACTAGTTAATCCTTTAAGTAATGTTCAAAATATTAATATGAAATATGAGTAGGGAATAATTAATATTCAAGGAAGAATATTATTAAAGAAGATGAATCCTACTACAATTAATATCAAGATGTTAACTAATTGTCATTTTAGCAACACTCCCCAATATTAATATAGAGGAAGAAAATACCATTCTAACTAATGTCGAGATGTTAACTAATTGTCATCTTAGCAACACTCCCCAACATTAATATAGAGATGGTATTAAGGAAAGAACTATTAATTAATATTCAAGGAAAGAAGTTAAGAAAATAACTCACAACTTTAATAATCAACAAGCTTCAAGAGCAACACCAAGAATGAAAGTTTAGCTCCTCATTTGGAGACTAAACATAGCTAGAAAATATAAAGAAATGCTATTCTAAACTGAGCTTAAGAGTATGGAAGAAGGGATGGTTTTTAGAGAAGAAAAAGTGTGCTATTTATAGGTGTTTTTCAACACCTTGGGCCGGGTACCCGACCGGGTATAGTACTTACCCAACCGGGTCCGGTCAAAATGAGATAATCCGTCACGTTCTGGTGATCTTCGCACGTCGTTTTGTCCCGGGTCACATCGGACCCGACCGGGTCAAGTAGGGGACCCAACCGGGTCCAGTGACTTTCTTGGCAATTTCGTCTGTTAAATCATACCCGACCGGGTGGGGGTTTCTACCCGGTCGGGTTTAACTCCTGGGCAGTCAAATTTCTTGTTTTCTTCTCTTCAAAGTCTTCCTTTCCAACACCACAAATCCTAACTATACTTTACAACTTATAAATGAGAATTAAAATACGATTACAACTAAAATCACACAAATGTTTACAAACTAAATAAAACGGTAAACAATACACACAAATCAATCATAAAAATATACATTTATGCACTACTAATTAGTGCATATCAGCAATCCGATCTCAATGGGACTAATGTCACGAAGATTGTCAAATACGCTATCAACACAAGAAACATGATGTGAGGCCCCGGTATCCACAATCCACGTGTCAGTCATCTTACCATTCAGACGAATACTATTCGTGGTAGCTTGTACCTCACCGATCACAACATTTGTTTTAGCAGGAATATCCGTTCCACCTTTACCACGTCCACCTTGCTTTCTATCAAACCAGCCCTCAGGATAACCATGCTTTTGGTAGTACCTGTCCTCTAAATGGCCTGTGCGTCCACAATGTCACTACTAGAAAACTGCCTTACAGTGACACTTCGTTAGTGACACTATTCGATTTAGTGTCAAAATATGACGACACAACTGAAATTTTACACATAAGTATCACTAATTTTTGACACAATAACATCACCATTTAATAGTGACACTCAAGGTGAAAAAACGGGGTCATATTCATAATTTGTTAAAATATTTTTTTTGAAATGAGGTTTATTTTATAAATTTTAACCCTAAACCTTAACCTACTGGAGCGCAACTCACTCTCATAACTCTCAACCTCAGAAGCTCCTTCTTCCTCTAAGCTTCGTCGAGTGTCCATCTCCCGACGCCTGTGCAGTATTCCAATGCCGCCGGCGGAGGGGCTCCGGATAGAGGCCGGCACTTCGGGCCAAGCTTTGCAGCGGCGGTAAGAGATTCCAACCCCGGCCAACGTCTGCAATTTCAACTGAGTCGTCCTGGTCTGTACAGTTTACGCAGTTCTAATCCATGGATACTTGATGCTTTGACTCTAGATTCTTGTTGTTTCTTGGTCGATTTTCACCCCTAAGTTCATTTTCGAGAATGGATTTGAATTTGGAACCATGAATTACGGCCACAGACTCAAAATCGAACCGGAATTTCACGACTTTTACTATTCATCTGCGAATCGATTTCTGTAAGAAACGTTTTATTTAAGATTGTTTCAGGCTTTTTAAGGTTTGATTGTTGAATTAATCCTGTTCGTGAGTGAGATTGCTGTGTTTAGTTGAAACCCAGACTCCCGAATATTCAATCGTTCGATGCTCAGACTCAGGAATGGGTACTGCGCGACTTAAGCTGTGTTTGTTTGCTGGTGTAGCTCTGTTATTCCGTTTGGACAATCTGCAAATTTCTGTGCGTTGCTCTAAGTCGAAGGTAGCTGCTGCAACTTGTGTTCTGTGCGTAGCTTTGTTTGGTCTGTCTGCAAATTTGGGGAAACCCTCTGATTTGTATTGCTTTGTTTGGGCTGGTTGAGACCAACAAAACCCTGATTTGTATTGCTTTATGTTTTTGCTCTTGATTATATCAAATTCCTGTTACAGGCTTGCAAGGGAATATCAGTTGCAACAAGGGATAATTTCATATTCCTGTTGTCATCCAGCTATAACTGAATACTACTTTGTGGTAAGTTCAAGAAGCTTTTTACATGGATCATGGCTCTAAAGTTTAGTATAAATGATTTCATAAGTTGATTTCACATCTTCCTTCAATGAAATATACTTCAGTCCTCTAATAAACCATTTAATTTACTTGTTCAACAAACAGGGGTGTAGACAAAACATGTTTTATAAAACTTCTTTTACCCTTTCATTTTGGATTTCGTACGATTCAATGGCATCTTGTAATCCTTAAAATCTGATATATCAGGTTTCCAAGTTTCATTTTCAAAAAGAATGTCTGCTTTCTAATGATCACTTTTGTCTTAATATTCCTATATAATTTTCAGGAAAAAGGTTATTGGTTTGGATGACTTGCTAAAGGACTACTACAGGGAGAACGTCACCATTGACGAGAAGGTTAACGAAGGATTCATGCAGGTTAAAAGTATAGATCAAAGGTTTTCTCCTATTGGTTTTCTAACTTTTATATATGTTTATATAATGTAAGTTTCATGTTTTAGGTGAAGAAAACTATAGATTAGAGGAATAGATGTACAATGATTTCTCTTCTCATGAAGAGGGGTTTTCAATAATGATGCCATGAAGGTGTTTGTGAGTATGCAGTGGTCACTAGTAGAAAAATGGTTTTGATGAACTGATGTACAGTTTTGTTAAAACTGAAGCTTTACGTTGACAGCTACGGTTTGGCTCTTTCTTTGTGGGTTTTTCATTTACATTACCTATTTTAAATGTGTGCTATTTTTCGAGATAAGTTGTGCTATTTATAACTAAACAAATAAATATGTCCACACAATCCATCTTAAACAATTGTGTGGTTTGTGTCAATGTGTCATTACTTTGTATAAAATAATTTATTTTTTATCTCAGATGTGCAGTAACTTCCTATTCCTGTTAGAGATGCAGTGTTCAGTGGGTTAAAAATTCCACTTGGTGAGAATTCTCTCATCTGTATATAGCTTAATATTGATAGAAGCATTGAAAATATGTTTTTTCAGTATCAAATGTGCAATAACTTCCTATTGAATATTTATCTTTATGTTTCTTCCCTTGCATTGTACCTTTTTTACTTAATTCTCTATTGTCACAGATGATAAGTGATAAAGATAAGTTATAAAGATAAGTTACTTAATTCTCTTTGTTGTTACTTGATAACAAACCCTCTAAATATTCATGTTTATTCTTATATTGGCTCTATTAGATTATTAATTGTAAGAAAATAGCAAAGTCAGTTTCAAAATAGCATGCCGGTAAGCATATTTACCAATTAACTTATGTGTTTACATAAGTAAATAGCAAAGTCGGTTTCAAAATAACATATTTACTTATGTGAATTACATAAGTACACATATTTCACTGTTTTTTCCGATTTGTAGGCACCTTTATGAAAAAATGCTGGAGGTGTTCACGGTGTATGAGAATATAAAAATGGTAAAAATGGATTTTTACAGCCCATTGTGTATGAGAATTTACCTATTTTCTGCCACAGGTGTTCACAGTTTGGCCATAAATTGACTGGCTGTCCTTGGGCAACCTCAATTTTGGGGGCCTAACTCACTGAGTTTGGATACTGATTGTGCCACTACTGCTGTGAATCTTGTACCTACTTCTGTTGTGCATACTGCCCTACTTCTACTGCTACAGGTAATAAGGCTATTGCTGGTAAACTTGTTGTCTATGTTGTTTCACCACAGTTTGGTGTTGGTCCTGTTAACACAGTTTGTGAAGCCCCTGATTATAATACTGTTATATGTTCCTTTGCTGACAAATGGTTCAACTTTCTGAATATTGTTTACCACTGAATACTTAGCAGTATATTATGTTCCTTTGCTGACAAATGGTTCAACTTTCTATTCTTACAGAAGGTTGATACATGTAGAGAAGATGATGATTGCAGGGAAGAACAAAGTATGGTAGATTCCCTATTGGAAACTGTAGATGTCAAAGTTGAAGATCCATCAACAAGAACACTAGCTTTTCTAGAGTCCAATAGCAGTCTTGATTCTAACATTTTTGCTAAGCTCGTATGCATTATGACGGTTAAACAAATGGCTGGAAGGACATAACATTTGGATGTTTGTGATGTACTTTATGTGTGTCAAGTACCTATGTAATGACTACTTTATGTTTGCAGCCCTATGTGGTTAGACTAGAATTCAAGAATATTGGTATTTTGGATTTTGCTTTGTTTCCAAGAACAAGTTAACTTGTCTTTGAATTTTCATGTTGACTTTGATTTGAATCTAAATGGCAATTAGTTAGTTTTGGGATACTTTGATTATGAATTTGTTTTATATTTGTCTACAAGCTTGAAAATTAAACTTTTAGGTGGATATGGTGGTGCAAAAAAAGTATTAAAATTGTTCAATAGTTGATACTATAGTATCATAAATCTGGATGGCGCAAGAGTATCATAGGTTTTTGTAACATTAGTTATATCACTAATTTATATGATATCAAAGTGTCATTAAGTATACCAATACAAATGTATCACTATATTTTATGATACTAATGTGTCACAATTTACTGATACTTTTTAGTGACACATTTTTTAGTGTCAGAGTTCCAACCATTCGTTGACACTTTTATGGTGTCACTAAAACTTTTAGTGACACTAATTTAGTGTCACTATAGACCATTTTTCTACTAGTGTGTGTACATAGCAAAGGTGACCTGCCTCCACGTCCAGCCCCCCCTGCACCACGTCCTGCAGTATTAGAAACAGGGCCACGCACAGCAAAAGTCATAGGTGCAGTGGCTTCTGTTTTCACCACAGTAGCTGCACGGACTTCTTCTTCTTGGATTAATCTGGAATAAACCAGGTTCAGGGAAGGCAGCGTGTCACGCCCAAGCAGATTTGACCGAACAGCAGCATAATAAGGTTCAAGACCAAGACCCATCAAGAATTCCCGCACTTGGTTGTCTGCTCTCCTCTTCAGCAGCGCCACAGTTATTCCGCACCGGCAACCATTACAGGAACATGATGGCAGAGCATCATAATCGTTCACATCGTCCCACAATTTCTTCAACCGATTAAAATAAGTCATAATCGATTCACCGCTTCTTTGTTTGCAGTCAGTCAATTCGCACTTCAATTGATAAATTTTGACCCCGTTTCCAACAGAGAAACGTTGCCGTATGTCTTCCCGTAGATCTCGAGCAGAATCACGGTAGGAGATGCTAGACCGAAGTGACGGATCGATGGTGTTAAAAATCCAGGCTACGATCATTGAATTCGCCGTCCACCAGTGATCGAGGTCGGGAGAATTAGCATCCGGTTCTTTCAACGAGCCATCAACGAAAACAAGTTTGCGTTTAGCACGCAAAGATATCCTGAATCCTTTAGCTCACTCCTCATAATTTGATCCTACGAGGACAACATGGGTGATCTTGGTTCCAGGATTATCGGTCGGACTTAGAGCATAAATAGGATTCACAACTAACGGCGACAGCGGAGGATTTGACTCCGGCGGCGGCAGCTCTGATACCATATAGGACGAAGAAGAAATTAAGGAACAAGAATCTTTTCTTTTGTGTTCTTCTTGCCTTGCAATACATAATACCGTCCAGGATTTATACAAGAGGAGCTAATTTAAAGTTGGAAATAAAATAAATGATATACATACAATATGGAAAGAATATATATTCTTGCCATAATAAGATAATGCGTAACAACTTCACAGTCACTGTTCACATGGTCAACTTAAATTACTCTTAATTTTATGTTTTATACATCAAATTTTTATCAATTTTTTTTATCAGCCTTTGTACATATCCCGAAGTGGCGGGCGGTAGGCAGAATTGCGCAAGGGCGATGCCTATTGAGATTTGCGAACAGCGAAGCGGAAGGGTTGAATTTCAAAGTCGGAAGTCTCAAGGCATCGCTCCATCATCTGCGGGTGTTAATGTTTTATTATGGAAGAACTACCAAATAAGCCCTCGAACTTTCATAAAAAGTGCAAATAAGCTCTTTTATATGAGACTCTGTCCGGCCGCCACCATTTGGAGCGGTTTCCGGTGGAATTTTTTGATGAATTTTTTTGAGCATCTTCTTCATTAAGGTTAGTTTACTCATACCAAATTTCACCTAAAAATTCAATCAAGAAGACAATCAAATGAATTTTGAAGATAACTGCGCAATTAGGCAGCACATTATACTTCATAAAATCATTTGACTGTTTTCTCGATTGAATTTTTAGCTGAAATTTGGTATGTGTAACTAGACTTAATGAAGAAGATGCTAAAAAAAAATCATCAAAAAACTCCACCTGAAATCACCTCAAATGGCGACAGCCGGACAAAGTCTCCTATAAAAGATCTTATTTGCACTTTTTATGAAAGTTCGAGGATTTATTTGATAGTTCTCCCTTTTATTATTAATTTACAATTGAACTTAAATACGGAGTATATACATATAATAGTAATGGGATTTTATAAAAAAAATTAAGGCCCTTGAATTTAGTGGCCCTAGACACTTGTCTAGGTGGCATGCTCCCATGGCCGGCCCGGACCGAACATATATATAATTATTTTGCATCAAAAAGCAACATTACACTAACAAATTAGTCAACCAAATTATAAATCACCAAATAAAAGTAATAGCATATACAAAGAGTTCCATATCAAGATCTCTCACAAGGGGAGAATGTTGGGTGAGAAGTGGATCACTCGAGTCTTGAACTAATTTACTCGTCATATTTTGTTTTTGTTTTAAAAAAGTCATTACTAATAGACATTATCTATTTAGGAATATGCCTAATATCTATTTAGGAGAAATACTTTGTATTTTGGCAACTCTTATATTATAAATACTAGTTTCTCACCCGTGCGATACACGGAGTGAGAGTTTTTATAAAATGAAAGGAGTGAAAATGCTAACACTACTCCCTTTGTCCCATAATAAATTCATATTTTAACTTGGCACAAAAATTAAAAAAGTGGAAAATGTGACCTAAGTTGTGCAAAGGAAATAAAGATGTTGTGAATCAAATATTCTTTGCCATAAAAGAAAGAAATACTATAAATTGGGATAGACAAAAAGAAAAGATTGAAGTTTAGTTTGGAAAGGAGGGAGACATGATATCATCATAAGAAGTAAAATGTGATAGTAATCTACCCCTATTTTGCACATGAGGAACATATCCTAAATTTTTTAATTTTGTGTATTAATGAAAAAAACATATATAGAGACAATTTAATTTAATGGTAGAGATGAAACATGATAATGATAGTGAAAAGTTAATGTTACATAATAATGAAAGAGCAATATGGGCAAATATGTTAATGAAGTGAAAGATGATAAAAATTATATAACCTACTATTTTTTATTTATTGCTATAATTCATTGATATATATATATATAGCCTATGCCAATCAATTTTGTTACTTATTGCTACAAATGTATGACATATGAGTTAATATAACCATTTTTTATGAGTTAATATAACCTAACAATACCTAAATTACTATAAATATTTAAAGTTGAAATGGAGCCAAAGATTCATTATTTTTTGGCTTGAGATTATGATGGAATAAAGCAAAATGAGATCTTCACTTTAGCACTCTGATCTATTTAAGAAAAAATTGAATCTAAAATTTTCTCACAGTTGAAATTTCAATTTTTTTTTTAAATTCATATATGCTATATTGGTGTCATATGAAAGATTATAAATAAATATAAAATTTGATATATTTTTTACAAAAATTGGATAATAAATAAAGAAGTTATAATAATTTGAAGAAAAATGAAAATTTCATTTTGGATGGCTCCACACGTCACTTTCTTCCTCCGGCCAGCAGGTTTTGATTTTTTCCCAATTCCCAACTTTCTCACACGTCACTTCCATCCTCCACACAGCAAGTTTTGATTTGTTCTCAGTTCCCAACTTCCCGTCTCTCTATAACAAATTAACAATGACCGTGGCCCATGTAGTAGTGGAATACGGGTTTGACCCATTTTTACCATATTTTTAGGCGGGAATATTGTTCACATTTTCCACTTTGGTTTGTATATAGTAAGATATCTGTGTGGTCTCCTAATGGCGTATCAGTTCTCATTATTTCACATGATATCAAGAGCTGTAGGTTTTTAGACACAATTTTTTTTCTTTTTTCAGTTCCCATGAACCCTAGTACAACCGCCATCGCCTCGGGGTCGACTGCTTCCACATCTACGGAAGTCTCCGATCCTTTGAGGATGAGCGCGGCTCATACGGCGCAGACCACCTTCTTCGCGTCGCTGACCACGATACTTGCTTCCAACGTGTCGTTGAGTTCGCCGCCTGCTGTTGTTTACGTTCGCGCATCCCACCTTCTCTGCGTCGCTGACCACGGTGCTTGCTTCCAACGTGTCTTTGCGTTTGCCGCCCACTGCTACATACGTCCATTCTCTAGCCAAGACTAGTTCATCTGCTCACACAGTAGTTCCAGAGCGCTACGTTGTCCCGTTCTCTCCGACGACATTGGCAACATCAGACATCCGCCTGCAAATCTACGTCAGGGTTTGTTGTATTTTTTGGTCCTATTATGATTTCTTGGAAGTCCAAGAAACAACCTATTTGCTCGTTGAGATCTTATTGTCAAATATGTGTCTCCTAGTCTTCAGTTCGCGGATATATTTACTAGGAGACTTTCTGGTCAGCAATTTCATTTTTTTTTAAATGACAACATGCGTGTTGTATCTCCCGCACAGTTTGAGGGGGTGTAATAGCCTAATATCTATTTAGGAATATGCCTAATATCTTTTTATGAGTACTTTGTATTTTGACAACTCTTCTATTATAAATATGGGGGTGTTTGGATCTGATTCTTAAAACTGCTTCTGCTCCTTCAGGGAGCAGAAGCAGAAGTTGGAGTGTTTGGGTGAAAATGCAGAAGTGATTCTGGTGCTCTAATTTACTCCTAGAATCAGTTTTTTTAGAAGCTAGGGGGTACCAGCTTCTGAAAACTGATTCTGATTCTGCTTTAAAAAAGAAGCAGAAGCAGAATCAATTCCAAACACCCCCTATATCTATCTGGGCTCCTATTGAAATACATTTCCCATTATTTCACAATTACATCATTGCTTTAGTTATTTGCATTTACTATGAAATAGGGGTGGACCGGTTCCGGTTCGGGCCCGGTTCGGGCCTGGGCCCGGCCGGGCCTCGGTTCATGAAAGGGGAGGCCCGGAACCGGCCCGGGTAACCCCCGGGTCCGGGCCGGGCCTCGGTTCTTATATCATTTTTTTGGTTTTTCCTAATTAACCCCCAATCCTCCCCCCTCCCCCTCACCCCCAAACCACCCCAAACCACTTCAAATGGCCCATCATACCCAGCCCAATCCAAAAACTTAAAAAAAAATCAAAAAAAAAAAGAAAAAATAAATAATTTGGTCCGGACCGGGCCCGAACTGGCCGGGCCAGTTCACGTTTTAGGAGGCCTGGGCCCGGCCCGCCTACCTCAGAGGGCCGGGTGGCCCGAACCGGGCACCAACCGGTTCACCGGGCCTGTCCGGGCCCGCACAGTAGCGGGCCGGTCCGGTTCCGAGCCGGTTGGCCCGGGCCGAGTCCAACACTACTATGAAATCCCTTTTAGGAACTCAATCCCGTATTTCACATCATAGTAATATACTATTCCATCATGAGGATGAATTCATTGATTTAATCAAGTTAAACATTCATAAAATTGAGTACAAGAAGATAATAGCATCTAGGGAGCGGATCAGGTGAGAAGTGTTCGTAGGCTGAGAACTGCGAAGTTTATCTAATAGACTAAAAACACAAACTTTTAACCAATAAATCATAACTAATAGACCCCGTCGAAAATAATTACGAAAATGCCACCGCAAAAAAATAAACCTGGAAACCTTGAAAATTTTTGGACGCGGTGGCATTTTCATAATTATGATGGAGGGCTTTATAAGTTATGATTCATTGGTTATAAATTCCTATATTCAGTCTATAAGTTTACTACATTGCAAGATCACATGCAAATCCAATGGCTGAGATTACTTCTCACTTCTCATTTTAAGGAGCACTTCTCACCCGATCTTTTCTCATAGCATCTATCTATAATTCTATAAACAATACATTCCAAGGTTATAATTAAGGATAACATTGCCACATGTCAACTCTACAATTATTGGTTTAACATCACTTTCCAAATTAAAGAAATCTATACAAGGCTAGCTATGCACAAGTAATTTATCTTAGTTTTTTTCGCTTCTCGTCTGTCTTCTCAATTCTCTGTTTTGCATTGATATCATAGATCGATTCATTTTAGTCGACCCCGAATTCTTTTGGGATTAAGGCTTGGATGTTGTTGTTGTTGGAAGAATAAAGAAGCTATTTGAATGCCTAAAAATAGAGTATACAAACACATTCAAATCCAACATAAATTTTTCTCAAATTTTTCAAGTTTAAGTACAACACATGGCTAAGAACAGAGATTGGTGAGGAGAAGAATACCTGAATTGTTTTCGAAGAAAGTGAAAACCAGAGAAGTGTTGAAGAGGATGAAAGGATTGGAGCGCTACCTTATGGGTCG